ATATATATATATATCACAGTAATTATATGTTATATATTATTTATATATTATTAAAATTGAGAGTAAATATATATACTTTGTTATATATATAATAGTAAACGTTGCATTCAATTTAAAATAAATACTATTTAATTTAATGGAGAATAAATTTTAAATAAAAAATGTTTACTAAGAAAGTTTTCAAAATAAGTATAAAATGATCTGTGCCGGAATACCATCTTATGAACAGACAGAGAGAAAGAGAAATTAACAGATTATTTTTAATACTTCCTGTTTCTCTGTAAAAGAGAACAATATATTACCTAACATACTCATTTTGTCGATATTTATACTTATTACAGACAGGATTTCCAGTTAACTTCAATTCCTCCAGTTTTAAATCCTTAATAGCATCTAACTGATGAATGTCTCTGATCTAGAATACACAATTAACTCAGATTAAAACCAAGCATTATTATGTTAACGACAATTTTATACAATTTTATATTTTCTTGTTGAAATAAACTCACCTTATTATCACCAATATATAAAATTTTCAATTTTGAGAATTTCTTTGTCAGTATACTAAGTCTCTCAATATTCTGCAACTTATTTCCTTCTAAGTTCAAAGCTTTTAAGTTCGGTATGTGTTCCGCTACAATGTCCAACACAGTCGTCATCATAACCGGATGGACCAATGCACAAAAGTAATCAGAGCAAAGATCTATAACACAAATATATTTATGTTAAAAAAACTCCTAAGTTACATTAATTAATATTTTTAATTAATATATTATTATCCTCATTATACTTATAGTTTCATAACTTTTTATTCTTACCAGGATCAAGATAGAACTTGGACAAATTCAAAGCATTGGTATTTTGTACATATCTCTTAACCATTGCTTGTTTTAATCTTTCCTTCAATTTATCATCAATATGATAAACTGGAAATCCTGGTTTCACTTTCACTTTCAATTTAAATCCGTCACTCATTGTGATCTTATAATGACAGTTTTGCAATGCAACTGCCGTCTTATAATCGTCTACATAGAAACTGGCATCAGTAGCAGATGTCTTGTACTGTAAATAAATTTGATAATTCAGCTATAAGAATTTACGGTTTTACACTTGAATTTAACTATATTATATTAAATCTAAAAAAAACATGTTATATTAAAGCTAAAAAATGACTTAGAGATATAATAAGATATATATTAAGTAAAAAATATGTATTTTTTAATAAGTGTTACTTGCCACTATGGGTACAAATACATTGGGCGCAATGTAATTCAAAAGGGTATTTATAATAAAATCCCTTTCGTACTTCTGACCACATGGTATCTATAAAATGCAATTAAAAATTTAAATTATTGTATAATCATTTTACGTTAGTATATAAGTAGATACTTTAGGTGCACTAAGTATTTTATATTGTTGTGCGAGTACTTCAGTGTAATATTACAGAAGTAAACTTACACTAACTCTATACCAATTGGATTCTCTTAAAGGAGGAAGTCGTCTAGGACCTGACCGACCTCCCTTAAAATTTCTGTTTGGCATAGGACTGTTCCTCTCACGAAGAACAGTTCGCCAACGTTCCTCTCTTTCTCTATTATTCGAATTCATTATCACTTGTCTCGAATTGTTATTCGGAGTCATCGAAATGTCGTCACCCAAATTAACAAACGTCAAATTACGAGCCAAGTTGTTAGGCGTATTAGTCTTAAATGACACACGGTGCTTGATTTGACCCTGGGGTCTTCCATCCCTCTCATGTCTTCCTACTCGATTATCATGACCTAAGAATATTAGTATATTAAATATTTGTGAAAGGCTCAATAAGTATTAAACAACTAATATAATGAAATAAGGGCAAATGAGCAAATTTTCATTAGAATCTTTAAATCAATCTAATATATTGCGAAGAATATCACGTAAATATGGCGTTTCGTCCCAACTTCCACTAGTGGACTCATCAGTAAGGCATTGTAGTGGAAGCCTACCTTAGACGCCTGTTTTAGTTATTAAATCGAGATTCTATATATACAGATATACGCGTATCAAAGCACTTGCGAGAATCTTAGCGAATATCTATAGACCTCTGATGGCGGGTCGACGTATTAATATTCTTCGCAATATATTATTCAATTAGTATATTAGTAAAATAATATGACATCATGATCATTACTTTTTTGTGAATTAATTCGAATATAATTAATATTTTTAATTATATAATAATTCTTTTATAACAATATCTCCCGTACTATTCAAAATTAACTTGGAAAGAAAAATGGCACAAGGAGTTAAGTGCAGATAACTTTACGCAAACGCTGATTTTTGTGAAGCAAAACTTATTTATTACAAAAATTATTCTTACATGTTTCGGTTCATTTTTGAGCCTTCTTCAGAGACAATGAAAAATCACATAAATAAAATATAATTTAAAATTGACAACGAATTAAAAGATGTTTAAACACTGCTAGCTCCCCCACAGAAATAAAATAAGATGACAATTTCATCTTAAAGAACACAATAATATGACCAATAAAGGCACAAAAGAAAAATTAATAAAAAGAATGCTGGAATTCAGGGAAATCTTTTCTGCCTTTATTCGTCATATTATTGTGTTCTTTAAGATAAAATTGTCATCTGATTTTATTTCTCGGTTGTGGGGGAGCTCGCGGTGTTTAAACATCTTTTAATCCGTTGTCAATTTTAAATTATATTTTATTTATGTAATTTTTCATTGTCTCTGAAGAAGGCTAAAAAATGAGCCGAAACATGTAAGAATAATTTTTGTAATAAATAAGTTTTGCTTGATAAAAATCAGCGTTTGCGGAGTTATCTGCGCTTAACTCCTAGTGCCCTTTTTCTTTCCAAGTTAATATTTTTAATGTTCAACGTAAACATCTTGTATATATTACACACAAAACAAATTTTTTTTAATCGAGCTCTCAGCTAAAAAGTTTTCATTTCATGCCAAAAAAACATCCGTAAATTTTTATGAAAAAAATATTAAGATTTAGAAGTCGCTAGTGAACGATTTTTAATTTTTATTTTTCATTAATTCTATTTATTTTGCAAGCAACAAACTCGTAACTTGCATATTTCAGCATCAACAAATTCAGACATTTTAGTACCAATTTTAAGCGAGCAATATATATTTTACTGATACTTTACTGCTCTTGTTCCACTAGTATACGATGAGATTTTTGTGTTATTTACACCTATTTTGCAACCAATAAGCTTCGTAACTTGCATATTTCGACAGCAATAAATGAGCGACAAATTTCTATGTTATTTTTACGTCAATCGCCTTTGTTCTATTCTATGTACATTGTTCCACTAACTTAATCTTCTCTTAGCGGAATATTATTTAAAAAAAAAAACTAATAAAGCAAATTTTTTTTTTCTTTGTTGTTAGGAACAAATAAGCAACAAATAAAACTGTTAGTTAAAATCGATTCTGCTCACTTTGTTCCGCTAAATTATAAGATGTAGTATTACCTGACACTTTTTTGAAGAAATTTCAGATTCACCTTACATTTTAGTGTCTTTGATGTGATATTCTTTAAAAAAGATGAAACTGCACATAATATAAGTCAGCTAATCAAAAATTGTTTAATTGATGAGAATGAAACATCTCTGAAAAAAATCAGTGTTACTCTTTCAAAGCAAATATCTTCGAAACTATAAGATGTAAATAAAAATTTCTAGAATGTAAATTGAACGGTTTCAAGAGTACTCTGAAAATGTAATTTAAAAAATTATTTTTTATAAATAGATAATTTTTATTATATACCTATAAGATAAAAAAGTTTCTTAATGATTAAAAAATTTTTTTTATTACTAAACGCTAAGGTTGTGCTACAGTTGGAAAAGTCGACTTTTCCAATTTTAACAAAATTAGTGTTTAGTTAAAAACATTATAATATCATGTTTATTACAGAAAGTAACAACACAGTAACTTTTAAACTACAGGTGTGCAAACGAAAATCTATCGATTATGACCTATCGAATCCATTTGCTCGATGTTGGGGGGCTAGTGTGAAGTTAGACCCCCAAAATAGTTTTTTAAATAACTTTTAAATTAAAGATGTACAAACGAAATTAAAAAATGTGCACAAATGTGAAAAAACGATGAGAAATCGAATGAGCTATGTAAATTTCATTTTTTTAAGTGTTGGGGGGCTAACTTCACTACAGTCTTCCAAATTGCATATGGGATTCGATACGCATTTGTCTATTCATAATTTTCTTTTATCTATACCTTTCAAAAGAAAGTTATAAACAAATTAAAATTTAACAATTCGTCACTTTTGATATCTTATTTACAACAACAACACACACATAATTCTAAATTTATTCTAATTGGAAGAAGGAATGTTATTTCTTTGATATAAATAAAATATTATGTAAAATTTGAAAGGTGGACAAAAGAGAATTATGGGTACACAAACGTGTACGCATGGTGGACAATTGAATACCGTATGTAATTCGGAAGAATAACATAGGGGTGCTACAATTTTATATTTATTTATAATTTTTTTTAAGAAGGGCAAAAATGTTTTTTTCATGGACAAATATAAGCAAATGTTGGACAATCGAATGCAATATTAATTTTATCAAAATTTGTATTTGGGAGTGCAAGTTTCACAGACCTCAGACCGTAGTGAAGTTAGCCCCCCAACACTTAAAAAAATGAAATTTACATAGCTCATTCGATTTCTCATCGTTTTTTCACATTTGTGCACATTTTTTAATTTCGTTTGTACATCTTTAATTTAAAAGTTATTTAAAAAACAATTTTGGGGGGTCTAACTTCACACTATTGTAAAAGGCCCATAAGAGACTCATTTCTCGCATTAATCCTCATGAAGGATACAAAGGCAGAAGATATTCACAAAAAAATTTTCAACTTCTTCACGACACATGATATTCCATGTAAGGAGAACTTAATCAGCTTTAAAAAAGTATAAGATAATCAAAAGATTTAGTTGAATAAATCACAAAAATAAAACCAGATGCCAATTCGAGCCAACACAAGTTCTTGGAGTGTACTTTTCTTACAATTTATTAGAAATATATAAAACGCATACGTTTCGACCTATAAAATTAACAATTAATATAAAATTAATAATTAAACATAAAATTATGTATATGATGATAGCGCATACAACTTAATGTAAATATGAGATAAGAAATATTCAAGTGGTAATGTCCAAATTCAAGTCAAATCTTGTTCATCAAATTGTTAAATTTACTAAAAATATTAAAAAATATAATTTAAAAGTTAGGTTTATATTATTTTATACTGAGGAGGACCTTAACCATAGGTCGAAACGTATACGTTTTATTTATTTCTAATAAATTAGAAGAAAAGTGCACTCCAAGAACTTGTGTCGGCTCAAACTGGTATTTTGTTTTATTTTTATGATTTAATCAGCTTTATCCCTAAAAGAGCCAATGTAATTGCAGACCAAAATAATTTTGTGATGATTAGGTTAAAGGCAGAAAATAAATATATTTTTTTAATTAAATGTATCTACCATTATTTCAGTTTGTTTGCGAATTATGCATGTAATAAGCTACCTAAGATAGTGGAGAATTTAGCAAGAGATGTGTATAATTATATTTCTAGTAGTCCCAAAAGAACTGCTTTTTTATCAAGAATTTCAAAAGTTTATTAAAATTCAAGTCCACAAAATTCTTCAGCCTGCCAAGACAAGATGGCTTTCATTTGTTTTAAGATTATTAAAACAATATGTTGCTCTAACACTGATATGCAGTGTTTATTGTCAGCCACCATCGATTTCATTAAAAAACATTGAATATAATATAAAAACTCCTCTAACATTAAAGACTTAAGAAATAAAATATTTCCGCTAATCAAGAATATTAAACAAAGAAAAACAAATTTGGTCACTATTACAAGAAACGTAAAAGTTCGTCGAAAATAATACAAATATTTTATTTACACATGCCGACAAAGGTAGTATAGCTTGTGACTATGAACGAATCAATCAGATTACATTAACAAAATGGAGGATATTCTTAATGAAATAATGCAATATATATTCACTAATTTTATGCACTAATATTATGCACTAATATTATGCACAAAACCGGATTATCACTAGTATGAAAGATATGTTGAAGAGATGGAGGAACTTGGAAATGTTAAGTGAATCTAATTATAAATTTTTTAATTCTGCAAATCCAATTTCACCACGAACATATGATGTACCAAAGGTCCACAAGACTGATTGTCCGTTGCGCATCATAATCTCATCTATTGGGAGTCCATTGCATAATTTAGCTACATTCTCACACAATATCCTAAAAGAAAGTTTACCCACTAATAATAGTTGCGTAGGTAACAGTTTCCATCTTACACAATATTTAAAAAATTTAAAAATTGCTGAAGATGATGCATTGTTCTCTTTAGATGTAGTTTCTCTTTTTACAAATGTACCAACAAACTTAGTGATGGATGGAATCAACAGCAGATTGCATTTAATCCAATGAAATATATGTTTGACGAAAATATAATTTTTAAATGGTATAAAATTAGTACTAGACTCAACTTTTTTAATTACAATGAAAAATTTACAGAAAAACATTCGGTGTACCAATGAGCTCACTATTATCACCAATAATATCTGAGAGAGTTCTTCAAGATCTAGAAAATGACATATTTAACAAACTAACTTTCAATCCTTCATTTTATATACGGTATGTGAACGGCTCTTGCAATTAATAAGACACACATCAAAGAACTTTATAATATGTTCACAAA